GGATCTCTGTGAGTTTGAGGCCAGCCTGGACTACCAAGTGAGTTCCAGGAAAGGTTCAAAGCTACACAGAGAAACCCTGTCTAGAAAAAAAAAAAAAAAAAAAAGATCTTGGGACATAGGTATGCTGGCTGGAGAGGTATATGCTCAATGATAAGAGCCTAACACGTGAGGAACTTCAAGGAACAAGTCACCAGTACTGTAAGCATACACCCTTACTCTTACCATCACCCAGAACAACACTCCAATTTCTTCCGAAACAAAATCTGGTAATCAAGTCCGAGGTGGCTTTTCATCATAACTTTGATAAAAGCAGATTGAAGCCTTGGGTAAAGAGGTTAACTATAGATCAAGTGTCTTCATATTGATGTCTATTTACCCACAGCTTACTCACAGGTTACTCACTGCTATAGGAACTTGGTGTATAATTTTCCCTAAATAAAAAAAATCAGGCACCTAATTCAATCCCTCTCTACCTTATCTATAACCCCACCTACAGAAGCGCTTTTGCTGCCTGAGCCATCTCACTGTCCTGGAATACTGTTTTTAAATCATCTTGTCTGTCAGGGCTAGGGATGTTACCCAGTCACAAAATGCCTGCCTAGCAAGGACCTGGGTTCATTCTGCAGCAACATAACAAAAAATTCTTAGATGCCTTTTGTCTGAACTCAAAGTCATGATCCTCCTGCCTCAGCCTTTCTAGTGCTAGAAATATAGCCATAAGCCAACTCATCCATCTAATAATTTACACTTTTAATAAGTAACTGGCCTCTAACGCAAAAATGAGTTACAAGTTTAACCGAAGTTCAAATTAACTCCTTCCAGGATGTTCACAGGGAGCCAACAGGCAAACCCTCCCCCCCCAAGCGGGCCTGCTCCAGGCCCTCTGCTAGTTAGACTATACTACCCCTGACATTCAGACTTCTCTCCTTGTCCACAAACTTCGTTTTCCACAAACAAAAGAACGTGATCCTAGGGCACAAAATAGTGTCATCAGAGGCTGGGGAAAGGTAACCAAAATTGGTGTGGTCTACCACTTAAGTCACTATTATTTACCACTCAGCAAAAATTCAGATTTCAGTATGACTTGTATGTGCTGCATTCACACCTATATCCAAGTCCTTTGCACAACTAAGGGCTACACTAGGTCATTTCAGTGACCCCAAATTCTAATGTCTCATTACTAAAATGAATTTCGTTTTATGGGTATGTGTGTGAGTATTTATGTGCACCATGTACAGGACCCGCAGAGGGCATTGGATGCTCTAGAACTAGAGTTAAGGGTTGTTGTGAGCTGCCAAGTAGGTTCTGAGAACCAAACCCAGTCAGTCCCCTTTGCAAGAGCAGAAAGCACTCTTAACCAATGAGCCATCTCTGTAGCCCTAAGAGATAAAACTTAGTAGCTGACTATAACACTTGTCATTTGTCCTATGTTCACTCGCCCCTTCTAATACTAATAGGGAATAATTACGAGAGCTAATGCATTTTGTTTCGATGAACATTAATATATAAATCACTTTTTTGGTACTAAAATTTTCATTTATATTTCTGAGTTGGTTAATAAAAAAAATGACTTTTAAGCAATACTTAGAACTGTGATCATTGTCAGATGAGGAACTAAGGACATAGCTCAGTTGGTACAATGCTTCCTAGCATGAATGAGTCCCTGGAGTCATTCAAATCCCAAGCACCATATTCACTGGGCACAGTGGTACATGTCAGTAACTGTAGCACTTGGAATGTGAAGACAGAAAGATATGAATTCAAGGCCATCCTCAGCTACATATGGAGTTGGGAGACCAACCTCAGGCATGTAAAAGCCTGTCTCAAAAAAAATCAAGAGATTGCCGGGCGGTGGTGGCGCACGCCTTTAATCCCAGCACTCAGGAGGCAGAGCCAGGCGGATCTCTGTGGGTTCGAGGCCAGCCTGGGCTACCAAGTGAGCTCCAGGAAAGGCGCAAAGCTACACAGAGAAACCCTGTCTCGAAAAACCAAAAAAAAAAAAAAAAAAAATCAAGAGAAAAAAAGGAAAGAAAAGGCTGAGTATGGTTGTGCTTCCATTACAGCTTTAATTACAGCACTCATGAAACAGAGGCAGGCCAACAGCTGAGTCTGAACCGAGGGCAGCCTCATCTACACATTGAGTTGCTGGCCAGCCAGGGCTACAAGTGACACCGTCTCAAAATTAAAAAGGGGAAAAAAAAATGCTGGGTGACAAATTTGAGGCATAAGTACTTCCTGACATGTCCAATTATCACACAAAGAGGTAGAACTAGGATTCAAACTCAAACCTGAGGCAAGTCTTACTGGAGAATTCTCAGTAGCAAGTTTTCAAATCAAACCCCATTTCTAAAAAAAAGTATTCTCTAGCCACTGACACATCCTCTTCTCCTCTCCCATCTACCCTTTGCTCATTAACTGTACCCAGTTCACTTCCCAGTGTGGAGATCTCTCTAGTCAACCCAAGACTAAGCTCCCAAGCACTACTATCTCAAGCTTTAAATACAGATTTCAGATGACTCAGAGGTAGACCTGTAATCAACTTTAGGTTTTCAAAAGAAAGTCTTAATTTAGCATGTTTTCAAAATAGAATTTAAATATTAGCTTTCTGTGTGCTATCTTATCTTCTCTATTACCCAAACTTCTATTAAATAACACTAGTCCATAAATCTAGTAAATGTATTTTCATTATGACTTTACCCATTCATGCTACTCTATTTCCACTGACTTGGCTTGATAGACAAAACGCGTGGGAAATCAACAGACTGTGAAAGGACTCTGACACAGCTTAATTGGGGATGCAAGGGCCAGGAGGGTTGTGTGTAGAGATATGATCAGAAACGTAGTACACTCCTCATTGACAGTCTCTCATTACCTCTATTTCAAGAAATAGTCTCAGGCCACCCAACGGAGTTGAAATCAAAAGCCAAACCTCAGAAGAGGACAGGCTGACAAGGCTAGAAGCCTCTATCTATGTAGTCTTGCCGCAACTTCTCCAATGGCCAAGGTCTAGAGGCGATCGATATGTGTAGAAGGTGAATGTTCTGAAGATATAAGGAAAATCCATTTCCCCCAAACACTCATTACAGTTCTGTCCTCCCATTCACCAAACCTAACTTTTCCCCAAGTTATAAGAACTTAAAACTCAGAAATATATAAAAAGCAAAGTATGAGTGGGTTATAGAATTAACACAAATGAATATTTTAAATAAAAAGAAAACGTTTTTAAACCATCTGCAAGAGAAAGGAAAATGACAAATGATTTAGCTCTGTAGCTCCTTCTGGCTTGAATGAGAACCCTGAGGGCTGAGGCAACAAGGCATCAGGATCTAAAGATAGCTGACAGTTATACTGATCCAATACGCCAGATCACTTTGACGAGTCTGGACTGCAATAAAGATCATTAACACTGGCCCTGGGAACACATTAAGCTGGGTGTTTTAGGGGTTTGGGATTTGTTTTTGTTTTTTGCAGGAACCATGGAATTGTGACTGTGGCAGAAGAACTGGAGAAAAAGAAAAATGACAAAGAAATACTGCAAATACATAGGCCACAATCCCAACCCTATATTCAGACCCTCTATCCCCCACAGTAGTCACGCCGAGCTTGTAACTTAGCCCTCAGATCATTCTACCATCACAGAGAAAAGTATTAAGAAACCCATCTTCCCATTCTATCCCAGTTCTGCAGAGGAATGAAAATGAGCAGCAAAGCATCTGAAGGCAAGGCAATGAGCAGAAAGAGAAGCAAATAAAAGAGCTATGACCCCAATACTTCCTGAGAGTTCTCAGTTAGCACAAATAAGAACTTGTGATTTTTGAGGCATTTTTACATGATGGGCAGAAGGAAGAAGACATTTGGGGCAAGCTACTGTCACAGCCAAGTTCCTATGAAGCCAATGAAGGAGGCAGAGACAACCCACCCAATCTATTTGGCAGCTGCAGTCACACACATGCACACACATGCATGCACGCACTCACGCACGCACGCACGCACACATCCTCCTTCTGCTAAGTCATCTTGATCCAGCAGGCCCCCAATATCTCCAAAGCATCCTTTCCCAAGGAGTATTAGGTTTCTGTTATCACTCCACTTCACCAGTCTTCTTTCATCTACCCATCAAGTTCAAGCCTCCACCTCACCCCTGGTTCTAACTGCTCAGATCTTCCCAGACAAGCTCTTAGAGTAAAAGTGTAAGAATTTTCCATTCTTCCCCCAAGAATTCCTACTTGATTTGTCTGCACTCCAGCCCCTTCTCAGGAATATAACACCTTCAAACATAAACCCAGCAAGAAGACATCTAAAAACCATAATAGATGCAGATAGGGAAAAGGAGTCTCAGGTGTTGTGATGACCGAGGTTGGCAGGACACAGGAAGGATGCTCCGTGGTGAAGTTCAACAGGTGAAGTACCAGGATTGGCCAGAACGCCCCGTATACTTCAAATATTCCTTGCCCCTCATTTCTCCAACCACAGGGCAGTACCGGATAGTGACATCACCCCACCCCACTATGGCTCCTGTCCCTGGTCCCAGCCTCAACACTCACTCAAGCCTACTGCCTGGATTCATTAGCTTTGTCAACATTGCAGCAACCCATTACCCAAGCCCAGTCAGATCTCAACCAGAACCACCCTGCTGGACCGTAGTTTTTGCTTTTTGTTTTTTCCTGAGCTGGGAAAAAGTCATGGACATTAGTCAAACATAAGCAGAGGAAAATGGGCATGGTTTACTAAATTTTGATGTGATCAACTGAAACTGATGGTTAGAAAGTCCAACCACTTGGTCTGAACTCTCCAGTTCTAAAGATGGATGGCATGCTATTTAAGACAATAATGAGCTTACTCCCACTGGATACTAGGGAACCATTCTAATCCCCCCCATTCAAGCACATTTCCATGCCCACTCTGGGTCTTCAGGCTGCCTTTCTTCTAGCTGCCATGTCTTCCTGGATGTCAAACTGGCTCACCTGACACTGAGTGCAATCAAGACAATGACAACCAGGTTTCCAAACCACAAATCGCCCCAAGTTTTATTTGTAGTCCATACAAAAGAGAAAAAAATTAAGGTTTCTAACACCACCTACTTGGGGAGATAGGGAATTGGGACTATGCCAGTCACCATCAGCTAAAACTTCAATGGTAATAAGCAGGGATTTGGACACATACCAACTGACTGTCCCAACAGGATCTCAGTCTCAATAGTCTCTACAGAGGACACTCACAGCCCCCTGGACTGCTGGCATAGCTTGGCGCATAGGAAATGGTTAAAGTAACCCTTTCCTGGCCTCCCTCACATCTAAAAAGAAAAACGCACCGCCTGACCTCAGCTGCAGGTTGTATCACCCTCCAGACAACCTTAAGTATCGCGCAGAAAAATAAAAGGGAGCCAGGAAAAAAATAAAAATATAAAAGAAATATCCATTCTGGGGAGATGGCAGGGTAGAGGGAAAACCGCAGATCTAAAGCCATAGCAAGATGTGTTGCTGAGGCAAAGGAACAAAGCAGGTCACTGCCAACACAAAAGGGTCCTCTCCTGGGGAAGGCCCACGTGATAGAGGGAGGGGATGAAAAACCACCATCGGGAGAGGGATGAGACGGGTGGGGATAACCTGGGTCTGCACCCTACCCTACCTCTTCCTCTCTCTCCCTTCCTGTGGCGCCCCATCCCCAGGATGGCCCTACATGCGGCGCTGGTAGCCAGAGTGCATCTGAGCTGCCCGCAGGTAATCATTATAGGAGCCCGAATAGCGTGCGTAATCGGAATGGGCATCGGGCAGGCGACGGTAATCCAGCGAGGACTTTGTCGGCGAGCGGCGGAACGAAAGCTGCGACTCTGATAAACGGCGGTAATCAGAGAGCTCGGCTAAACGCCGGTCGGAACCATACCTAGTCGAGAGAAGAAGACAGTTGGTGAATGAGACAGTTGAGGGAGGGCTCCAGGTGGGCCTAGGGGAGATGCCACTGGGGACAGGGAGGGTGTTATCAGATTTGTCTCCAACCGTTTGGTTTCCTTGTCAGAAGGCTCATCATCCTATCCAGGCCAAGAAATCAAACCTGGGTTCAAGTCAGCGGGAAACCAAGCCCTCTGCTGAAGCTCTCCCTTCCAAACTGGTCAAGGTGAATTTTGGTCTACATTCCCAAACAAACTATCCCCATTCATAGGCCCTGCACAAAAAGACCTTGGTTCATCAACAGAACGACGGACGAAAAGCAGGGTCCCCAACTTCCCAGGGTGAACACACCTCATAAGCTTGCCTTCAGCCAGTGAGTGGCAAAATGACTACTCTTTCATATCTACCCCACCAAAACCAGGACAACAAGGGAATGGGCTTAACGATCCTTCAGACAGTGGGAAAAGCTGTGAGCCAATCCTGCAGAAAGTGGCTATATGGCACAACAGGCTATCCTAGAATGGTGACGTTTCCTGGCCCTAGGTTGTTAATATCAACCCAGACTGAGCACTATGCTCCACCTGAACCCTGATGGCCAGAAATGTTCAGACACTCACCCTCATGACCTTAGGACAGCCCACAGAAGTAAGACCAAGGGAGGGGCCAATGGCTCCTGTTTCCCTCCCATGCCAACCTCAGCCCCTTGCCCTAAGCCCCAGCTGGGGGCTGCGGCGGGGGGGCATACAGTACCTTTTCGACATGGCGACAGCCTTTTTGTAGGGATCGTCGTAGCTGGCCCGGGGTGGGGAGAGGCGGGTACGCTCATAGGGCGGTGGGGTGCTGTTGGCGTTGGCAACGGCCCCCTGGGACATAGACAGGTAGGCTGCTGACGGCTGGCCTGTCCCATCGTAGGCACTGCCCGGCTGGCCACGGTAGGAGGCAGCAGCCTGGGGATGCTGCTGAGCAGCATAGGAAGCAGCCAATGAGGCTGACGACTGAGTGCGGTAAGGAGCTGCCAGGGTGGCAGAAGGCTGAGCCCCATAGGCAGCTGCTGCACCATAGGAACCAGTAGCCGCAGCAGCAGACTGAGCTCCGTATGAGCCTGACAGGCCCATCGATGCTTGAGCCCCGTAACTATTCAGCTGGGTCTGAACAACTGGTTGAGCCCCGTAGGAACCAGCCATTGGGGTAGTGGCTTGTGCAGCATAGGCAGCTGGCTGGCTAGCATAGGCAGCAGCTGTGGCTGGCTGTGCCACATAAGCAGCAGGCTGGGAAGAATAGGAAGCAGCCTGTTGTGCAGCATATGGGGCAGACTGGGCACTGTAAGAGGCTGAGGGCTGGGCACTGTACGAGGCTGCCTGGGCTCCATAAGCTAGTGAGGTGGCTGCAGACTGGGCACCATAGGAGGCTGCCTGAGCCCCATAGGAGCCTAGGGAAGAAGCTGCTCCCTGTGTGTTGTAGGAAGAAGCTGCTGCACGAACCCCATAGGAAGAGGCAGCCTGGGCGCCATAAGAGGATGGCTGGTTACCATAGGAGGCGAGGGAGGATCCCTGAGCCCCATAGGTGTTAAGCGAAGAAGCTGCGGCTGCCTGACCCCCGTAAGTGGAAAGGGCTGAGGCTGAGGGCTGGGCTCCAGCATAGGGGCCAAGTGAGGAAGCTGCAGCAGACTGGGAACTAGGGCTAGCCAGCTGACCCCTGTATGGGGCCCCAAGGGAGACAGAGGGCTGAGCACGGTAAGAGGCTGCCTGGGCTGCCATGGGCTGAGTCCGATAACCAACACCCAAAGAGGCAGAAGGCTGGGCCCTATAGGCAGCTCCCAACGACACTGAGGGCTGGGCCCGGTAGGTGGCTGGTTGGGCCGTCAGAGGAGCCACATAAGAGGCTCGAGGAGGTGAACGGCGCAGGGGGCTGCGGTCGCGACCAAAGAATGGCGGTGTGGGCTGACGGGCTTGCCCATCAAAGCCACCAGTGCTGTTGCCAAAAGCCTGTTGGTAGTCGAAGGTGGCAGAGAAGCCACCAGTTCCAGGGAATGCTGTATCCCCAGCCCCTGGTTTCTTGGTCTTGTCCCCAGACTGGACAGCCAGGGCAGGCCCCTTCTTCTGCCCCTTGGTTGAGAGTTCCACGTTGATGCGCTTGCCCTTCACTTCTTTGCCGTTGAGCTGCGCGATGGCGGCTTTGGCATCTGCTTCCTTCTCCATGTGAACAAACGCGTAGTCTGATAAAGCAGCAGACAGAGGGTTAGCGATTAGGGGGGCAGGGCATGCTACCTGTTGGGTCCCAAACTGGACACACAACAGCACCCAGCTGTTGCCAGCTACAACCAGGCCTCCAAACCCTCCTCTACGTGAGTATGCCATGAAATGTGGCTGATGTGTAACAAAGCTTTCGACTGTATCAAGCAGTCACCTTTGACTATGACCTTCTTCCCTGTCCCCCTGCCACCTCAATCAACTAACTTTCTGTGACAAAAGGAAAAGCAAAGATGAACTCCAGTCCAGGATAAAAGTCTTCACAGCCTCTATAAACATAAACCAGCAAGTAAACACAGAAAGCATTTCCAGATCACTCAATTTCTCAGTGTTCTCAATTCAAGCACATCTAATAACCTCTCACCACTCACATCTGAAGCTGAGAGCTTCAAACACTAGAAACCACCACTCACACTTGGGCATGTCTCAATTCTCAGTGTAGGTCCAATCAGGAAACACAGAGTGACTGCAAGAAGCAAACACTCACAAAATTCCTCCTATGAAACATTTTCACATTACTTTCCAGTTTTCACATCCACTTTCGCATACAGGACGACCTCTCAACAAACCTGTAAGGCAACAGGGAAAAGGCCCATCGTCTTCCCTTTTAGGTAAACATGCTCAAAGTTCCTATGTGGCTTGCTGTAAGCCAATGTATTAATGCCAGGACCAAAGCCCCAGCTAGCTCTTCCACGCCCCTTTGTTCCATCCCTGAGAAGTCCATGGACAGGACTATGTAGTAGGACTAAAAATATTAACTTGGACAAAAGCTAGACCTTATGAATGTCACGTTGCTTCATCTGCTATTTCCTCTTTAAGGGACAGAAGAATACCTTCCCCTTAAAAAACTGTTTACTGATTTTTCAGGTTTACCCTTAAGGGGCACTTGCTTTTATGGGGGTCGGGGGAAAGTACAGCAGGGCCAGGGGCTGAACATAGGAAGGGCCTCTCCCATGCCAGTTCATGACTGAACAATATCACCAACCTAGGCTCTCTCATTAAAGAACTGAGTAAGCTGTGTTGGGAGAAATTCTAAGGCAGGATACTGATCTGAGAACTCTAATCATCTACAACACAGGGAAAAACTTGAAAGGGGAAGAAATTCTCAATAGTATCACATACCATACCACAAACCATAATAATGCCATCAGCAGAATATAAAGAACAATGAAAGAAACCTGTCCTTGAAAAATAAGGTTCTGCCCCTAACTCCATTTTGGACCTGTGGCTACTTTTAATTAACGCAAGAGCCAGGACCCAATCTCTGTCATAGCAGTTCAAGAAATGAAGAGTTATCTGGATGGAATTACTAAGGCTCTATTTTTATAAAACAAATTATTGTGAATGGCCTCCAAACAAGTGTCCTACTTTTAGGACTTTCATTCTGAGATGCCTTATCTAAGCTATTGTTCCTATAGAACAAGTCATCTCCCAAGAAACAAAAGGCAAAAGCCAAGTGCAGTACAATGTAAAGGATCCTGGACTGTACTACAAGGCCCAGCCTTAGATCCATTCATCACTGACTTGTAAGGTGATCCTAGAGAGCTTACCATTTATTCCCCATTAGAAAAATTACCCTACCAACCTCAAGTTAGAGGTTCAAGTAAGAAGACAGAAATGCCTTACGAGGTGCAAATGGATGTAGATAATGGAGAATTATGACAATTCTTCAAACCTAAACTAACCAACCAGGGGTTTATTTCCCTAGAAAATATTATTTTTCATCTATAATAAAACATAATGCCACATAAACTTGAAAATTGTTTTATACAATAAAAGAACAAAATGAGGCTAGAGAGCTGGATCTGCAGTAAAGAGCACTTGTTAGAGGATCCAGGTTTGGTTCCCAGCACCCACATGGGTGGCCACAACCACCTGTCTGTAACTCCAGCTCCAAAGAATCCCACACCCTCTTCTGAGCTGCGCAGACACATATATGAAGGCAAAACATTCATACACATAAAATAATACTTTTTTGTGGAGGGGGTTCAAGATAGGGTCTCACTGTGTAGCTCTGGCTGTCTTGGAACACACTATGCAGACCAGGCTGTCTCTAACTCAGAGATTCCCCCGCTCTGCCTCCTGAGTACTGAGATTAAAGGTGTGCACCATTATGCCAGGCTTAATTTTTGTCAGAGCTGAGGACCAAACCCAGGGCCTTGGACTTGCTAGGCAAGTGCTCTACCATTGAGCTAAATCCTCAACCCCACCAAGCTTAATTTTTAAGAACAACATGAACACCAAGCTTGATGCTCCTAGTTCAACAAATGCTAGTCTTCAATGACCCCATAGTCAAAAACCGACTTCTTTTTTAACAATTATGAAACGCTAAATGTTCCTTTGCACCTAGCCACAGGGTATTTGATTTGTCCTTTGATTCCTGATCTCCATTTTGGGATGAATCAACTAAAAATAGCAGTTGTGACCGATAGTGATAGCACACGCCTTTAATCCCAGCACTGGAAGGCAGAGCCAGGTAGATCTCTGTGAGTTTCCAGGCCAGCCTGGTCTACAGAGCGAGATCCAGGCCAGGCGCCAAAACTACAGAGAGAAACCCTGTCTTGAAAAACCAAAAAAAAAAAGCAGTTGTGGTCTAAGAGATCTTTTAAAAACAGAGAGATCAGGTATGGTAAAGCTTGCCTACAACCCCAGCACTCAGGAGGTGAGACACACAGATGAATTAAGAGGCCAACAAAAGCTACAAAGACACTGCCAAAGGGGGGGGGGGGTTGAACTCACCTCAGGAATGACAAGGGTACCAGGAAATTGCAATGACAAGCAGAAACACCCACTCCAAATGAAAACATCAAGATTAGCTGGAGCTTAAAGGGAGATGGAGCAGGAAGGTGAGGTGGAAACAGATAATCAAACACCCTGAATGACAAAGGAACCTTGCTGTTTTCTTGAACTTTGTTCCCTCACTATGAAACCCTGGCTGGCCTAGACCAGACTAGCCTCCAACTCATAAGAGACCTGCCTGCCTGTTGGAATTAAAGGCACACAATGGAGGCCAAAGAGATGGCTCAGTGGTTAAGAGCATGTTCTGTTATCTCTAGCAAGTGGTTCACAACTCCCTGTAACTTCAGCTCCAGGGGAGCCAATGTCCTCTAGTTCTAGACTCCATGTATACACATAATTTAAAAAAAATAATAATAAATCTTTTTATTTATTATATATATAGTTTTCTGCCTGCATATATGCCTGCAGGCCATAAGAGGGCACCAGATCTCATTACAGATGGTTGTGAGCTACCATGTGGTTGCTGGGAATTGAACTCAGAACTTCTAGAAGAGCTGCCAGGGCTCTTAACCTCTGAGCCATCTCTCCAGCACCCAAAAAATAAATGTTAAATAAGTAAATGAATAAAGGCATGCACCACCATGACCACCTACCTATTTTCTTATCATTCTATTCAAAAATGAGCTAGGAAAAACATGTAACAAAAATTTCAATGGGTTTACAAGGGAAATTAGATCTCCCATCATCTACACCTTACACATGGTTTTGAGTTTAAAAAAAAAAAAAGTGCCACCCAGCATGTGACAGCAGCCCTATAATCCTAGCAATTAGGAGGAAGGGTAAGGAGGACCAGAGGTTGGAGGCCAACCTAGATTACTCAGTGAGGCCCTGTCTTAAACAAACAAAAAAAGCTTAAATTAAGTGGCAAATCAGAAAATTGAGGTTTAAGAACTGGCAAGGAGGAGCGGAGTGGTAGGGGTGAACACCTTTAGTCCCAGCACTTCGGTGGATCTCTGTGAGTTCAAGGCCAGCCTGGTATACATAGTGAATTCCAGGACAGCCAGTGCTACAGAGTGACACCCTGTCTTGAAAACAACACAACAAAAAAAGACTTAAGAACTGGGATGTAGCAGAGTAATGGTGTATGCATAGCAAGTATAAGGACCTTAGCTTGACCCGCCCCCTAATACCACAAAAAAGGGAAGGCAAGGGGAGGAGGACAGAAAAGGAGGCGAAAGGAAGGAAAAAGGAACAGATCTTTCAAATGAGCCATAATGAAGGAAGCCCTCTGATACAAATACAGTCAACTTTTATCAGGAAATGTCTAAGTCTAATCTTAGAAGGAAGTGTGAGGTGGGCATCGCAGTACATACCTACAATAATAGCTTGTAGGAGGTAGAGGTAATTGAGATCAGGACTTCAAGGCCATTCTCAGCTACACAGCAAATTCAAAACCAGCTTGGGCTGCATTAAAACACTGTCTCAAAAAAGGGACAGGGACTGGAGAGATGAATTCTGAATTCTCTACAAGACCAGTAGTTCTTGGAGAGAATCCAGAATCCGTATCCAGCATTCACATTGTAGCTCACAACCATCCCTAACTCCAATTCCATGGGATCAGATAACCTCTTCTGACTTCTGTGAGCATCAGGCAAGCATGTAGCACACTTACATACATGCAGGCATTTATAGACATAAAATAGACCTAAAAGAGTGTCTATGTGCATGCTAAAGATGTGCCTCAGTTAGCAGAAGCCCAGGAAGTCTGTTACCTAGTTTATGAGACTACACAGGGCTAAGTTTCATCATCACAGTACGCAGCCAAACTCAGATCTGTCAAAGACTCTCAGAACCCAACCACCACTAGGACGACAAAGAGCCACTTGCCTGGTGAACTACTTCAAAGAAACCACTGCATTAAGATTAGCAAGTAGGGCAAGGCAGTAGTGGCGCATGCCTTTAGTCCTAGCACTTGGAAGCAGAGGCAGGCAGATCTCTGAGTTTGAGGCCAGTCTGGTCTACAGAGCCAGTTTCAGGGCAGCCAGGGCTACACAGAGAATCCCTGGGGCGGTGTGCAAGAGGATCGGGGGGAATGGGTGTGACTAGCAAGTGATGTTTTTAGGCCCTTCTACGGTGTGATGGCACCATAATCTGTCTAGCAACAAAGCTAAGAGAATACTAGAAACCGAGTTTTCCCCAAAAACTAAACACTTTTAACTGAATTTACAAAGGTGTGTACAGAAAGAATGCCTGACCCAAAAAAAAAAAAGTATTTCTGATATTCAGACCTCCCTTGAAACCTATATGCTTCCTGAAACTGTTCATCTTTGAATATTCAAGAGTATATAGCTGTGGAGAATAGTTATTGTTGCTATGGGGATTTTTGTTTTACAAATCATACCTAAGCTCAAGTAACCAAGCAACTGTTTTTTTCCTGTGAAATAAAACAGAGTTGGCCATTCTGTGTAAGATCAAGCTTTTGTACTTTTCAAAGACTTGACAGCTCAATCACATGTCCATTCTCAACCACCCCTCCCAAAACTGAGTAAGGTATTTACAGAGCCAGTCTCTTCTAGTACATTCCCAACTTTAAAAAGCTTTTATCCCAAAAGAGAATGGCATCAGTGGAAGTATGTTCAGCTCCTCACCAAATCTTTTTTATCAAAATATAGAGTCTGTGTTATATCAGCCTAGAGAGTAGTTCTGCTATAAATATTTGTTTCCAAAAGAAAAAAATGCACAAAACTTTCTAACTCTCACAGGGAATCCACCTAGAGTTCACATCATGTGTGAAGTTATTACCAACCACCACCCTCACTGCTGCTTACTGTCAGCCCCAAAGTCAGGCCAACTGCTGGCCTACCATCTGAGGAAGTTTACTGATCCATATGAATTCCAATGGAGACTATCCCTTGAGGTACTGAATTCTAGATTTCCACTCCAGTAGCCAGCCTACCTAAAAACCACAGAAGAAACTGGACAGGTAAATTAAACACAAAACTCACAAAAACTCATATATCCCATCCTTTTGCTGGCCAAGTACCCAAAGCGAGATCTTCTCCACTCTTTTACTCTAAAAAGAAGCAAAACTCCATGCACCACAGTCCGCTTTTAAGTCTTTAGTCTGCGAGCAAGTCTCATTCCAGATATAACCTGAGTTGAGAAATAGAATGCAGTATCAATGCAGAATAAAAATTGTGTTCCTAGTAATGCACACCCCTTTAAACACGCGCCCATTACAGAAAAGACAAGGAATGACCCAAAACGTGTGACTTTCCTGGATAGCAAATGAACTATTTGATGAGAATGAGCAAGCATCTACACCCGCATTTATTTCCTGTCCTCAAAATTTCCCACAGGGCATGAGCAGATATGAATCCAACAGAAGTAAGGCATGAACAGGACATGACTCCCAGGTTGCACTGTTGAAAACGACAGGGCAAAGTTAACTCGCATCAGTGAAATAGACACTGGCCTGGGTTGTCCCATCAAATCTTGCCAACCAAAAAAGAATAGCATTTAGGAGATAAGCGGTAATAAGACCCTAAAATGTGTCTCAAAAAGACACATTTCCTCAGAGAAAATGAAAACTAGGGAGCTATCCTAAGTATTATTCAAGCAAGACTACTTGGTAAATGATATTTAGTTCAAGTTTAACAAGAGACCCCACACGCCTCTGGACGTCCCCCAAAGCGAGAGTATACATACCCCTTTGCAATCTCACCAAGCTTATAAAACAGATGTGCCCCGAGGCACCAACTTGGCAAGTAAAGGCTATCTGGGGCGAAGACTTCACAACACAAGCCCACTTCCACATGCAAAAATAAACAAAATTAGAGCTTTCCAGCAGATAAGACGTAAAACTGAACACAAAGCGGAGGGGGGGCGGGGGGGGACACCCGAGAATTGGAAAGCACCAAACTGCCAAGGCTAACCCACCAAATACTGAAAGGCCAAATGGGTTTGGAAAAGGCCCTTCTGGTACAAGCAGATCCATGACAGACAATGCTAATCAAGACTGCAACCCCGGAAACGACCAAGGGCCCCGTTACCTTCCGCTTAGGAGCATTCGTCGGGAGGGAACCCCAGGAAGGCCCTGGGGCTTTAACCCCCACGTTTTTTCCCTCTTCCCTTGATCTGACCGATGTGTGCACAGTAAGTGGGGAAGTGGCGAAATCTTCCCCGCTCCATGGTCCGGTTGGTGCCCGTCACTTCCCAATTTCAGTTTGGTACCAAGCCCTTGCAACCAGGAAAATGCACCCCCGCCCCAACCCGGTACATTCGCAAATCTCTGGCGCGTCCCCGGCCCCCGTGGCTTCGGCTTGCAGTGGCCACTGCACCCGCCCAAGCCGACTCCTCCCACTTGATGAATGCTGCCTGGACCGCAGGGGAGGGTGGCTCTACCCGGCTCGCCCCCAACACCTCAGGCCCCGCTCCCGCGCACGTCCCCACCATTCCCAACCGCAAGGACCAACCCCCGGGTAAGGGGCGTGGCTAATAGGCTGGGTGCACCGCGCGTCCCCTCCCCCGAGCGCGCTCCCGCATTACCTTTTACCACGTCACACTCGATGACGCGTCCACGGCGCTCGAAGAGGCTGCGCAATTCCTGGCTTGTGCATGCAGCCGACACATTGCCCACGAAAATCTTCCAAGTGTTCAAGGGCCTTGGGCGCGACATCTCCACCACGAGCGCGCGACCTGGACGCAGCTCGTGGCCATGCAGGGCCTCGATGGCGCGCACCGCGCCAGCGCTCTCGCGCATGTGCACGAAGGCAAACTGTTTCATGACGGCGCAGCTCATGACCGTGCCGTAGGGCGCGAAGAGGGCTGCCAGCTCCTCCGGCGTCGTATCCGCCCCATCGACATTGCCCACAAAGATCTTCATTTTGCCGCCGCAGCCGCCTTCCCGGAGAGACGGGATCTCTCCTACAGCGACAGGCAAAACGTCCGAACGACCCGCAGTCCTCCACAGGAATGGCTGGCGACCGAGAACCCCGCCGCGCAGGCGCTCTAACCTAGCCAATGGGAGACTGAATCCCGCGCCTACGGCAGCCAATCAAAGAGGTGGAGAGAAGATGCCCTTTGACGCAGCCAATCCCAGAGGGCCTGCAGCCCGCTTGTTATCGGAGGGGGCGGCAAAGGCACGGAGGCGCGCGACCAACCGCCGCCGCCGGGGGGAGGGGGAAGGAGGGCCCGCGGCGAGGGAGCGCGCTCAGGCTGAGTCGGCAGAGGCCTAGTCTGCAAAGCGGCCTCTGGCCGGGGTGTGGCACGCCGGCAGGGCCCCGAGGAAAACTTTATTCTCTCGGGGAAGTCCGGGCTCCTGCATTCCAGCTGCCTCGGCCAACCCCCGAGTGTAGTGGTAGTGTGTCTGCCGGAAGGCCAGGCCTGGCGGGAGAAACCAGGACAAACGCCTTCGGTCTGGGATCAGGAACCGATTTCAGGATCAGGACCAGAGAGGCGCCTCCCCTGAGTAGTTTGTTGTTTGCAAGCACATTACTTGGGGTTGCTGAGGCTCTGGAGGATTTTGCAGACAGTGAAAACTGAGCGTCTGTACAAACCTGATGGGATTTCCAATCGAGAAATACAGAGGTGACTGTTTATTGTTTGCATGAAGATTTTTCACAATATAATGTTTCATAAAATAGAAGAGCAGTCATCCTAAGGAGGCCAAAAGTTGGGGCTTAAAAAAATACGGAGGGAGCCATGCGTGATGGCACACCTTTAACTACAGCACTCTGGAGGCTGGTGGACTGTTTGAGGCCAGCCTAGTCTACATAGTGAGTTCCAAGACAGCCAGAGCTATGTAGAAACCCTGGCCGGGCGGTGGTGGCTCACGCCTTTAATCCCAGCACTCGGGAGGCAGAGGCAGGCGGATCTCTCTGAGTTCGAGGCCAGTCTGGTCTACAGAGTGAGTTCCAGGACAGGCTCCAAAGCTACACAGAGAAACCCTGTGTCAAAAAAACCAAAAAAAAAAAAAAAAAAAAAGACAACAAAACCTTAGAGGGGCTGCTCACTGGTTACTAGCACTTGCTGCTTTTCCAGAGGACTTGAGTTCAATTCCCAGCACTCACAATGTGGCTCCAGCTAACTCCAGTTCCAAGGGATCCGATGCCCTCTTCTGTCCACTGCACGTATGTGGTGCACAGACATACAGGCAGGCAAAACACCCACACACATAAACCAATAAAATTTTAAAAATTAAAACCTAAAACAATTTTAAAAAACAAGCAGAGCTAGACGAAGTGGCTCACTGCTGTAATCTTTCCAAGGGCTGAGGCAAAAAAAAGATCAGTGCGAATTTCAGGCCAAGCCTCAGAGTGAGATTTTAAAATTTTAACAAAGGGCTGGAGAGATGGCTCAGCCATTAAAGGATAGGCTCACAACCAAAAATATAAGAGTTCGGGTCCCAGCACCCACGACTCTCCAGCTACCTATTTATTGCCGGGCGCTGGTGGCGCACTCCGGAGCCAGAGCCAGGCAGATCTCTGTGAGTTCGAGGCCAGTCTGGTCTACAGAGGGGGATCCAGGACAGGCACCAAAACTACACAGAGAAACCCCGTCTCAAAAAAAAAAAAAAAAAAAACAAATTTAAACAAATTGCCAATAGCATAAACTCATTAACTACTTGCCCACCATATTACACATCTTCCATATGGAGAAGGCTAAGAACAATCACTGAACAGAATGACAACCTAAACTTTTGTGGAGTTTATATATTATAGTGAGAGAAAGACAAGCAATAAGGGAAATAGTGCCAATGGTGGTAGCTCACCCTTGTAAGCCGAGCACTTAGGAGTCTGAGGCCAACATGGTCTACAGAGTAAGACCATGTCTCAATAATTCAATAAATAATAAATAAACACAGCATGTTAGATGGTGATAAAGACTTGAAATAGCCAAGGAATAATACCAGTCAGAAAGCACAAGCCTAAAAACCCTGGGAACGGGAGCAAGTCTGGCTGGTTCAAGGAAGAGCCAAAAGCTGATGGGCCTGGAGTTAGGCACAGTGACTACAGAGCAGAAAGGAGAAGAGCTGTGTGGTGCCCTGTGGGTCATTGGAATGATTACCTTCTACCCTGAAACTGGGCCTTTATAGAGGGCATCAGACAGAAGCGATGTGATAGCATAGGCTGCATGGTTATAAGTGTTCTGGCTGCTCTTGAGACGGGCAAAAACGAATAGAGAACAATTGTTTGCACAGGATAATAATTCCTACTGCCAAAGTCCAGGACATGGTGATGTGATGAATATTGCTGTGGCAGAATAAAATGCAGTCAGAAGCTAGACCATGGTGGCTCCCCCCTTTAATCTCAGCACTGGGAGGGAGGGGAGAAGCAGTCAGGTCTCTGAGTTCAAGGCCAACCTGGTCTATTGAGTTCCAGGACAGCCAAGGCTACACAGAGAAACCCTGTCAAAAAAAAAAAAAAAAAAAAAAAAGTGGTCAGATCTGGGGTTGTTCAGAGCCCTTGCCATACATGATTAGATGTCCGTTGTGAAAGGAGTCAGAGGTGACATGGAGCACATGGAAGCGTGGAGTTAGCTGAGATAGAGAACATTGTGAGAGAAACAGGTTTTTTATAAATGATCAGAAAGTCAATTTTCACTCATTATGGTCTGAATGTTTGAATTCCCCCCAAATTCATGTGTTGAAACTTTGTTGTTGTTGTCATTGTTTTGTTTGTTTGTCTTTCCGAAGACAAGGTTTCATTATGTGTAGCTCAGGCTGGCCTTGAACTCAGAGATCCACCTGTCTCTGCCTGCTGAGTGCTAGGATCAAAAGGCTTGCTCAACTTAAGTCGTGCTGGGATCAAGAAAAATGGGCCTTGGCGGTTCGTGTTCCTGGAGTTGTATCCATGCCAGTGGATGCCCACACACTCCAGAAGAGAATTTGACATTGCTGCTGCCGTTGTTGCTGTTATAGCAGTGGGGGGCCACCGCTGCTACTGTTTCTGGGATTACCATTTTATAATTGGTTACTACAGCTAGCACAGTGGAGACCCTGGCAGCAAAAGTAGTTAGCACAGTTAGTTAATCTTTCATTCTATTGGGCATGATAAATTTAATTCAATAGTTATATACATTTCAATTGGCTTTGAAAATTATAAATTATAAACTCAAGTTCCATTTGCTTTTGGGATACCATCTTACAAGGACTCCAATTTGCAGTAAGGCTTATTAAGGAAGGGAATGGCTCAGTTGCCTTTAGCCTACTGGCTGTGGGTGGATTAGGATTTCTGTTGGTCTTTTCTGTGTCGAACACACAGATTGCAAGCCCAGCGCCACTTTGAGATCTGTGGTAGCAGTTAACTCTGCAGCTCACACAGGATTGAGCCTGTATGATAATGAGAAACAGGTAATGCCTAGGGGTGCTCACCAACCTAAGACAGAGCTCCTGTGTGGCCTGGGCAGGCATCTCCATGAAGGATAAGTTGACCTGCTGATGTCCCAAGCAACTTAAGTCAGAAGCTCATTTTTTAGTAAAAGGGAGACCTGTAGGACCCTGGCCCCGGTTTTGGGTAACTGTTGCCTTGCTTGCTGACCTTGATATCCTCCCTATGCTAATTCTCTGCTGGGTTCCATCCTCCTGAATGCTTAAGGGAAGTTCCTGGTCTGTGTTTCCTGCATAATGGGCGTTAACAGCTTAGATGCAAGATTGTAAAACATGGTAGCGAACTTCTGCCCTCTGGGGTTCTCCCATTGTGCTGTAAGCCTGTATTTAAGACCTCCTCCCTCCTTCAATAAACAGCATTATGCATTAAAAAAAAAAAAAAAAAAGGCTTGCTCTACCACACTCAATATTGGTGAAATTATTAAGGCCACTCCATGTTAAAAGGAGATTTATTTAATGGCATAACTTACAAATGAAGGGATAGGTAAGTTGAGGGTTCTGGCAAAGACACAGCATAGTCCAGCGGCAGTGTTCTCTGGAGAGCTCTGTAGGTCCACTTCTAGCATCCGGGTTCCCAGCCGCAAGACGCAGGGTCTTCAGGGCCCTCCCTTGGGCCCGCCTTGTAGGCATGATAGTTCCCGAAGCATCAATGGAGATTGGAACTTCCAGACCAAAGCTGGAATGGCTACCCACTTCATCTCCCCCTTTTTGTCTAAATAAGAAGGTTCTAACTTAATACAAGATTATATAGAAAGGAATGGTTATCAAATATTATCCGGGAGTAAAGGGATAATGACCTAAATAAGATGGAACTACAATCAATGCGAACAATATCAAGCAAGAAACACATTCTAAAATCCAGAGAAGTCTAGAGTGTAGGTAAATGGTATGTTAGAAAGATCATTCCAAAGGGTGTCCTATCCTAAAGAACCTGAATCTAATACTTAATATGTTTTATCTAAGATTTAAGTTGTAACTATAACTGATAGTCTTCAATCCCATCAAAGACCTGAGAAGGAATATAATGGTACCTGAGAAATGGTAGATGGATGCAAGCAACTTTCGGGAATCTTGCAAGAGTAGACTGAGACAGCTGGCAGCCTGGACAGTCACCTAATGTTTGGCCTAAATTGAAACCTAATCACCAGTGTTATGATATTTAACACATTCTTTTGCTAGTTGATAAGGGATATATATTTAAAGAGTTATACTATCTACTGCTGAAAAGGAGGAAGAAGGCATACATACATTCTGTTGATAGTGTGGATTTTACCTCCTTCTAGAGAAATACTCATTACTCCCAGCTGGAAAGACTGCTGTTCACCCCAGACAGAGCAAAGAAACAATCCCATCCATGCCCTGCTTGGTGAGCCCATAAGTTTATTTGTTACAGGAACAGAGGTGACTCTTGGGCAGCTTGTAATCCTGAAAAGCCCTCCCTCAAATGAGTGACGACTCATAAAACTGGCATCAAGGCGGTCCCTTGCCCAGCTGGCAGGCAGCTGTATCACAAATGGTTCCCCCCCCCCCACGCCAGCAGTTGCTTAACACTTAAATTGCCTTGGATTGAGAAGTGCTGGGCATGTAGCTCAGTTGGTAGCGTGCTTACCTAACATGCAAAGGG